TTGTCCAGCTAATTTCTTTCTTTTTTTTTTTTTTAGTAGAGACGGGGTCTCGCTCTTGCTCAGGCTGGTCTCAAACTCCTGATCTTGAGCGATCCTCCCGCCTCGGACTCCCAGAGTGCTAGGATTACAGGCGTGAGCCACCGTGCCCGGCCCCTCAAGCCCTTTTATAAGGGCCGTAACCCCATCGATGAAGGCTCTGCCCTCATGACTTAATCACTTCCAGAGGCTCCACTTCTTAATACTATCACACTGGTGATTAAGTTTCAACATATGAATTTTGGGGGACACATTCCAACTATAGCAGTGTGTTAATGGTATCATGGCAATTGAAGGAAAATGCCACTGTTCTTGGAGAAAACACAGTAAAGTATGAAAGGGTAAAGTGTCACAATATCTGCAAATAATTTGGCAAAAATAGTATGTTTATATACAAAGAGAATGAGATGAAGCAAACGTGGCAAAAAATGTTAATAAGGGATCTAGATGAAGGATGTATAGATGTTCAATGTATTCTTCTTTTAACTTTGTTGTAGGTTTGAAATTTTTTAAAATAAAAATTGTGAAGTAGGAGACATGGTTCCACTTAAGCCTCAGGGAGCTCACATGCCCATTTGGGATGACTGAGGCACTTTTACTGATGTCATAATAACATATAAATAGCTAACATGTATTGAATGCTTGGGGCCATTCTGTGCACATAATTTTTTTCATCGAATTGTCAAAATAATCCTACAGGGTAGGGATGATCATTTTCTCCATGTTATAAATGAGGAAATTGAGGCTGAGAGAGGTGACAGGAGTTCTCCAAATCATACAGACAGTAAGTGGAAGAACAGGATTTATTTGTTTGTTTGTTTTTTTGAGACAGAGTCTGGCTCTGTTGCCCGGGCTAGAGTGCTATGGCATCACCTAGCTCACAGCAACCTCCAGCTCCTGGGCTCAAATGATCCTCCTGCCTCAGCCTCCCAAGTACCTGGGACTACATGTGCTCGCCACCACACCCGGCTAATTTTTTCTATTTTTAGTAGAGATAGGGTCTCGCTTTTGCTCAGGCTGGTCTCGAACTCCTGATCTCAAGCAATCCTCCCGCCTCGGCCTTTCAGTGCTAGGATTACAGGCGTGAGCCACTGGCCCCAGCAGGAAGAACAGGATTTGAACCCGGGCAGTGGCTGAATTGGCTCCAGCATCCTTGTTCTCAGCCATTTGACACTACAACATTTTGGGCTTGTTAAGATTGGCAATCTTGAGAAAAAGAGGCAGACGGAGAGAGAGAGAGAAACAAGAATCAGAGGGAATATCTTTCCCTCTGACAGAGATGGGCATGGAGACAAACAGGAAAATACAGGTAGCCAGAGACACAGGAGCCTCTGCCACTGAGCAGCCATATGTGCTTAGGTCAGTCACTTAACTAGTTCCCTGGGCCTTGTTTTCCTCACCTGTAAAATAGACCCAGTAGCACTATTTCAGTACAGAAATAAAATCTGCATGGCTAATAAACTGTAGAGAAAACCCGAACTGCTCAAGAACTGAGAGAAATGCCAATAAAGCAGAGACACAGACAGATACCCATCAGTTTAGCAGAAATACATTTTATAAGTTATCTTTTTAAAGAGAATCAAGTTTCCAGTTATTGATGAGTCCATTCTTTTCCTACTGTTTTCAGCAGCTGTCTGTCTTATTTACCAAATTCCTGCATATATACAAGTCTGCTTTTGAATTCCTGATTCTCTTACACTGATCTCTTTATGAAATCCTAAGCCAGTTGTGTGGGTTTTCTTTTTGTTTGTTTTGTTTTGAGACAGAGTGTCACTCTGTCACCCTGGCTAGAGGGCAGTGGCATCGTAGCTCACTGCAACCTCAAACTCCTGGGCTCAAGCAATCCTTGCACCTCAGCCTCCCAAGTAGCTGGGACTACAGGCATATGCCACCATGCCCAGCTAATTTTTCAATTTTTTGTAGAGACGGGGTCTCACTTTTCCTCAGGCTGGTCTCGAACTCCTGACCTCGAGCAATCCTCCCTCCTTGGCCTCCCAGAGTGCTAGGATCACAGGTGTGAGCCACGGTGCCTGGCCAAGAGTGCATTCATTCATTCATTCATTTAGAGGTGGGGTCTCGTTCTGTCACCCAGGCTGGAGTGCAGTGGCACAATCATAGCTCACTGCAACCTCTAACTCCTGGGCTCAAGTGATCCTCCCGCCTCAGCCTCCCCAGTAGCTAGGACTATAGGCACGCACTACCACGTCTGGCTTATGTTGTTTTAATCATGATAGTTTTATGATATGTTTTGATGTTTTCCTTTTTAAAAAATTTTCTTGAATATTTTGACCTAAGCACATATAGTTGCTCAGTGGCAGAGGCTCCTGTGCCTCTGGCTACCTGTATTTTCCTTTTGTCTCCCTGCCCATCTTTGTCACTATCTTTTCCCTTTGTTTTCATTTAATATAATTAGCTTATTCTTCCACCAAAATCCTGATGGGAATTTTACTGGAATTTTAAAAGGAACTGATTTTTAATTACCCAGTAAAAATTCTTATTAAAAATTAAATATTTTCAGTAATGCCGAAGTCTCCTGGGAACACTATGCCTAATCTCAATCCCCACCCTTTTGCCCTGAGGGACTCACTTTGAACAGTATGATGTGTAACCTTGCATGTTCTTTACTTATTTGCACACACACACATATACACACAAATTTATCCATGTATAAATATATGTGAGTATATTCAGATTTGTTTGTATATACACAAAATGGTATGTGTTTAACATAAATGGTATAATATATACATTGATAAGTATTCAAAATATGGAGCTATTATTATAAATATTATCAGTGGCATTCTTGTGATCATTTTTATGGCTGTGAAAGCAACAAGCATGTTGAAATCACTTGGATGGCCCAATCTCTCTTTCTGGGAATAAGCTAGTTTCTGTCACCTCTACAGTTGGGAGATTACCAAGCCTACGCCTTTGACCCATTGTACATTTGTGATATGAATCTTCTTTCTGTAATATGTACTGCAAATATTTTTTCCAGTTTATCTTTTGTTTTATGGCTTTGTTTATGGTATCTGTTTTTTCATATCAAAATTTAAAATCTGTATGCACCGTTATACATATATCTCTATTTTCTTGTATGATTTCTGAATTTTTCCTCTTACTTTGGAATATCTTCCCCATCCACAAATTTATACAAAATTTTACCTTTTCTTCTCCTATTATGCTTATTGTTTTCTTTTTTATTTTTTCTTTTTTTGAGACAGAGTCTCACTCTGTTGCCGGGGCTACAGTGCCGTGGCATCAGCCTAGCTCACAGCAACCTCAAACTTCTGGGCTCCAGTAATCCTTCTGCCTCAGCCTCCCAAGTAGCTGGGACTACAGGCATGTGCCACCATGCCCGGCTAACTTTTTCTATATATTTTTATTTGTCCAGCTAATTTCTTCTTTTTTTTTTTTTTTAGTAGAGACGGGGTCTCGCTCTTGCTCAGGCTGGTCTGAAACTCCTGAGCTCAAACAATCCACCCACCTCGGCCTCCCAGAGTGCTAGGATTACAGGCATGAGCCACCACACCCAGCCTGTTCTCTTTTTTACATATGTATCTTTACTCTGTCAACAGTTGTGATAAGTAGACCTAGCTTTTTAAAAAAGAAATTCCAGGCTGGGCGAGGTGGCTCACACCTGTAATCCTAGCACTCTGGGAGGCCGAGGCGGGAGGATCACTCGAGCTGAGGAGTTGGAGACCAGCTTGAGCAAGAGCGAGACCCTGTCTCTACTAAAAATAGAAAAATTAGCTGGGTGTGGTGGCATGTGCCTGTAGTCCCAGCTTCTCTGGAGGCAGAGGCAGGAGGATTGCTTGAGCCCAGGAGTTTGATGTTGCTATGATAATGCCACTGCACTCTAGCAGGGGTGACAGAGCGAGACTGTGTCTCAAAAAAAAAAAAAATTCCAGATA